GAAAAAAAGAATCTTCCATGCTCATTCTAAAGTTGGCTCTGCATTGGTAAACCATTTATCAATTTCCATTTTCAAATGATTTAGTCAGATTATGGCTCTGCGTATGTGTAGTTTGTGCATAACAATTACGTCATAAATATATTATCTGTTTTAGATTGATGTGTCTTTGTCCCTTTGTCTTCTCCATCTTTTGTCTACATGTGGATCATTTTACTTGTGGATACTAGTGCTACATTGTCACGAATTTTGAGATTTTTATACTCAGCTGGTAACACTTCCAATATAATTAACTATGCTGCTAGCGAAAGTTAGTTGTTATGAAGACGGTAGAATCCCAGACTGAACTTTTTTTAAGTATATAATATTTATATATGGCAAATAGAACATATAAACTCACACATCTTCCTCACCTTTTGTGAGGTTTGAACCCCTGATCTCCTAGGAGGTCAAAGACTCGCATACTGCAAGGCCAAAGGCCCTTTGATTCCCAGGTTGAACTTGGGACTTAAAAAATGTGAGTCCTTTGGTTTCTTGCAAATTTTTATCTATGATGGTGCTAGCTTTTCTTCAGGAAGTTCTTGTCACAGTTTGTATACTTGAATATTCTATTTGTATGCTTGAATATTCTATTTGAACCATGAAGTATCATATCAAAACCCCTCTATATACACCCAGTGATACATATTTCCCACATGCTGTATGCACATTTTTTATTATCTGAATAACCTACGTTTCCTTGAATCTTGAACCTGCAGCGGCACACCCAGACCCATGCAACATAGGGTAGTAAGTATGCTAAAGAAAGCAAAACCTTCTTTTGAAAAATCTGAGATTGAGAAAAGAAAATCATGGAGATCTCACATTTTGTTAAACAATCTCTGGTAAGCCACCATGGCTTTACTTTTTCCTTATAATTGGTGATTGCTTTTTTTTATCATTGTTTATTTATGGATCAGGAAAAAATATATAAGCATTGACCTATAAACTGCAAAGGTATAAAGCCCCTTATTTGTGAGTTGGAAGGTTTTAGCATTTTGAAGTTTTAGAGTTTTTTTTTCCATCTAATGCTCCCTTTATGTGGTTAATCTCCTTTTTTCTTACCGTCACCTTGTTAGGTAGTTTCACACTCACACCAAAAAATCCTAAATTTACGATCTTAGAGGCTTGAGGCTATAGTACTTAGAAAGAAGGCAAAGGCTTTTGGGCTCCTAATTGGTCATGGAGTCGTACACCACAGATCTTCGATATACTAGCCTCTCATGGGTTCTTAGCTTCATATCTTTGTGTTCTGCTACTCTGTTTATAAGAAAAATGAGAATCACAAAGTGTTAGGTTCTGGTCATGTTCTGCTCCTACATGGAAATCAAAGATCGATAGCTTCCTCCCAATGTGTAATTCTAGTGTGTCACCTACCTGTGTCTTTTTGGGTTGTTATTGCATTTACTACTCATTTTCAGGTATTAAGTTGGAAGCAACATATTGCTATCAACCACATTCCAACTGACGCCTTAGATTAAAAGCGAGTGTCAAATCAATAACTCTCTTACACAAACCATTATGTGGATGTGACTGCTCTTGTGCAAATGTGGATTAGTTGATTGAGAACTGATACCACATTAATACATAAAAACATTCTATTAACTTTTGTATGGCTGATATCTGCAATATGCTTTCTGGTGAGTAAGTAGAGCCCAACAAATGATGCAATTGAAGTAAAATCTTCCAATTGTCTTAATCATCTCTATCGAAATGTGTTTATCTGTCATTTTGTATTATTTGTTAAGATATCTTACTTTAAAAATTTTCTTGAAAATTTCTTTAAGTTAATGATTCTTGATTAATCATATTAACCATCTAAGCTGCAAGTGTATTAATAAACTAAAGTATTGCTTTGTAAGGGAAACATATAGATGCTATTGCTGCCCTTCAAAGTGTATATTTACTCGGTGTATTAGTATCCTTTGCTTTTTTTTTTTTGGGTAAAGCTGTATCCTCTGGTTCCTCTTCCCGCTCTTTTATCTTCTGTATCATGTCAATTGGTATGACTAGTTTTCTTAATTTTTAGATATATGGCACCATCAAAAGAAAGCGGGACGAGTAGATGACTTTAGCATGATTAGAATGTATGCCAAACAACATTGTATAGATTTTGAGTTACGTACTTAAGATCAATGTGATATGTTTCACATCTGGATGCAAAGTTCTATTTCTTTTCTGCTGTTTTAAAACTGTTTAGTGACTGAATCAAGGTCTCTATTATTTTGTAGCTATATGGTGCCCCTCGAATTTCTCAGAAAGTTGAAGACAACATTTTTAACTATTATAGGGAAATTCCTGATGATCAGTGGGTTAGGGCAACTGACTTTTCTCCATCTTTCTCCATTGGACAATCTTCTCATCTATGTTTGGAGCTTTCCCATGGTGTTGAAATCCCAAACCTTGGTCGCTACTTTCCATATTATGAAGAAAGTAATCGTCCATTTAACTTGGTGACTGGTCATAGTTTTTCTCAGAATTTGGATCTAGTTCCGATAGTGGGTCCTGCCCGGGGTTCAAATCTGCCATATAAAATAATTTTTAAGGTCTGCTCCTTGGTTCAGCATGGTTGCATCCCGGGGCCAGTTCTTGATGCTAATTTCTTTGAGTTGTTGGATCCAGCAAGAAGAGACATTGCCTCCATTGATTATGTTCTGGATAAACTCTTATATCAAAAAGATTGTATTTATGATCCTGTAAGGTGGATAACCCAGGAATACAGAAGAAACAATAGGTTAAGGACGCCGACTATCTCATTAGATGCTGGTCTTGTATATGTCAGGAGGGTTCAAATTACACCATCAAAGGTGTATTTCTGTGGGCCAGAGGTTAATGTGTCTAATCGTGTTTTACGTAATTTTGCAACATATATTGATGATTTTCTTCGTGTATCATTTCTTGATGAGGAACTGGAGAAGCTGTATTCAACAGATTTGGCCCCTCGTGCCACTAATCGAAGTGAGGAAAGCAGAACTGGCATTTATAAAAGGATTTTGTCAATTCTTAGGGATGGCATAGTTATCGGCCGTAAGAAGTTCGAATTTCTTGCTTTCTCATCAAGTCAGTTACGGGATAATTCCGCATGGATGTTTGCTTCAAGTAATAYACTTACTGCTGCTGATATAAGGGAGTGGATGGGYAAGTTTAATAGTATAAAAAACGTTGCCAAATAYGCTGCTAGGCTTGGTCAATCTTTTGGTTCATCAAAGGAAAGCTTAARTGTTGCACCGTATGAAGTTGAAAAAATTCCTGATATAGAAGTTGTTAGAGGCGGTACYAAATATGTTTTTTCTGATGGAATTGGGAAAATATCTSYTGAATTTGCTAGCMGTGTTTCCMTTAAATGTGGCTATGACTTTATTCCATCCGCCTTTCAAATTCGTTATGGTGGRTACAAGGGTGTCGTGGCTATAGATCCAACCTCATCAAAGAAATTGTCRTTGAGAACGAGCATGTGCAAGTTTGACTCAGACAACACAAAGTTAGATGTTCTTGCAATAAGCAAGTATCAACCTTGCTATATGAATCGACAGATCATAACTCTTCTTTCTACCCTTGGGGTTAGGGATCACGTCTTTGAGAAGAAGCAAAAAGAAGCAGTAGACCTACTCGATGCTATCTTAAGGGAGCCGATGAAGGCAGAAGAGGCATTAGAGTTGATGTCTCCTGGAGAGAACACCAACATTCTCAAGGAAATGTTGGCGTGTGGATATAAGCCTAATGCTGAACCATTTCTCTCAATGATGCTGCAAGTTTTTCGTGCAACAAAGTTGTTGGAATTGCGTACTAAAACGAGRRTATTTGTTCCTAGGGGAAGAKCAATGATGGGATGCCTGGATGAAACCCGAACACTTGAATATGGGGAAGTATTTGTRCAATTTTCTGGTTCAAGAAGAAGGGTTCTGGGTGATGATTTCAGTGGAGGCAGCTCAAACAGTTGCAGAATTGTTACTGGGAAAGTCGTGGTTGCTAAAAACCCATGTTTGCATCCTGGTGATGTACGAGTCTTGACGGCTGTTGACGTTCCACGATTGCGCCATATGGTGGATTGTGTTGTTTTTCCACAGAAAGGACACAGGTAAAATTATGCATATTCTTCTTTTCTGCATTCTCCTTCGCTCATTCTTGGTCTGCTTGGCTTTGTGTAAACTTGATTATGGTTTTCTTCATTCAAATAACCACATTTTTTTTTTCCTGAAAGGTAAATTACATGTCAAATTACCCTAAACATTATGCATTTTCATTGAATATATTTTGTTTGCATCTATCTTCAAAATTTTGCAGGATAACTTSAGGTAAAAAAAGAACTYTGTCTCATTSTTATGAATACCGACTGCATTTGGGTTTATTKAAGTAGWGAACTCTTCAGCAATTRTGGGAACTTTTTTRTTTCCTTGAATACCACAAAACAAATTATATATCAACGAACAGATACAATTCTCTTAAGGAAAACTATTTGAAATGCATATGGACTTGAACCGATYGATCATTAGTTTYATTGTGGCTKCCCTTTATGTTCAWGTTAAGGCAGTATCTTCTGGAATGATCGATGAAAGTTRYTTTCTTCAGTTCTTGGGGTGGTCTTCCACTTTGCAGTCTTTTCAYCGGCAGCTCGATGATCATTTTGATATGCTAGTTGCAGGAGTAGTATCTCTTAATGACTGTCGATATATATTTTTATTTTATGKATATTTTGCACAGTAATATTGTATGATTATGCTCAGCTCGCCTTGTGCTAACATATTTCCAAAACCACATGTGAGCATGACTATAGGCCTCATCCAAATGAATGCTCAGGAAGTGATTTGGATGGAGATATTTACTTTGTCTGTTGGGACCCTGATCTAATTCCGCCTAGGCAAATCGAACCAATGGATTATACTCCAGCACCGAGTATGGAACTGGATCACGATGTTACTATTGAGGTGCAGATACTTTACTAGATATGTCTCAGCTCTCTAACTCGGAAGTTTCTGTAATAAGTTTTATGAATGCTCGTCTTTTTAGGATCTTGTTTCTGTTTTATCTACTGCAGGAAGTCGAAGAGTATTTCACGAACTATATAGTCAATGACAGCTTAGGAATCATTGCGAATGCCCACACAGTCTTTGCAGACAGGGAACCCACGAAAGCAATGGCCGAACCTTGTGTAGAGCTTGCAAAGCTGTTCTCAATTGCTGTGGATTTCCCAAAGACCGGGGTTCCCGCGGTGATACCGGCAAATCTCCGGGTGAAGGAGTATCCGGATTTCATGGAAAAGCCCAATAAAACCACGTATGAATCACAAAATGTGATCGGGAAGCTCTTCCGGGGAGTGAAAGACATCTCTCCACAAGATAGTCCCGTCAGTCCGTTTACGAGGGTCGTGGCATTTCAAACATATGATGCTGAAATGGAAGTACACGGCTTTGAAGAATACGTCGATGAAGCATTTGATTTCAAAACCGAATATGATTACAAGTTGGGTAATCTGATGGATTACTACGGCATCAAGACCGAAGCCGAACTACTCAGTGGGAGTATCATGAAAATGTCGAGATCTTTCGACAGGCGGAACGATGCTGAAGTGGTCGGTTTAGCCGTGAAGTCCTTGAGGAAGGAAGCTAGGAAATGGTTTAGGAGTGGAAGAGGAGAATCAGATGCTGAACATGACGATGTTTATGCAAAAGCATCGGCTTGGTATCATGTCACGTATCATCCTGATTACTGGGGTCGATACAATGAGGATATGACACGAGATCATTTCCTGAGTTTCCCGTGGTGCGTTCACGACAAACTCATCGAAATCAAGAAACGCAGATCAAAAATCAGACGGTATTCCAATATTGGTTCGCTTCAACAGCAGTTCATCAATAAACTATTTTTGAAAGGCAAAAAGGAAGGAAAAGGAAGAGAGCTTCGGCATGGCCATCACCCTCACCAAGCCAGTTCCTCAATAAACTGACTCTTCTGTGAGTACGGTTCTTCGAGTTCTATGAAACTCGATCCATGTGGTGTACTGTCGTTTTAAGTTCTATGTAACAAGCTACGTTTCGGCTTGGTTAATCTATCTGTACATAATCACGCTAGTTTGGTATTGTTTCTTTCCGGATTGTGTTTGCTTTAAGTTAGGGTTTAATGTGAAAATTGTGATTGCTGATTACTGTTTATAATCTATTGGATTTGGTCTAAACTTTGTGTAAAAAGCTTACCGTGTAGGTGCTTGGGTTAAGCACCTTCAATCAGATCAGTCCCTAGGTAAACATATCGATGCTAACCAAATCAGTCGTGTTAACTGAAGAAACAATGGTTAACGCAAGAAAATAGCAGAAAAGTCTCTTTAACATGTTAAATCTTAGTATTTAAACTGTGCTAACAAAACTTTGAGGCCCAAATTTACCAGTATTTATATAGTCCAACGTCTGAATCCACCTCAAAGAAAACATATCTAATTTTTTTTGGGTAAAATGCATAAAATAGCAATCTACTTTAATAAATTTGTTTATTATAGCATTGTACTTCCAGTTTTTCTTATTACAGCAATGTACTTTCAAACTATTTGTTATTAAAACATTGTACTTTGAAAATTTTACCCATTATAGTATTGCGTAACTTTTTGATTTAAATTTACCCATTATACCAGGTTTCCATGTCACCTCATTATCCACGTAGGTTGTCCACATGTACTATAGTAATTTGAAATGGGTTTTTATTTTTATTTTAATTAAGTTATCAAAATGACGTGTCATCCACATCACCTCATTAAAGCCACACAGCAAAAAAGGTAAAGGGCTAACTGGTTTAAAAGGTAACAAGATACCCATTGCTATAATAGGTAGAATTTTTAAAGTACGATGCCTTAATAAAAAATAATTTGAAAGTACATTGATGTAATAAAGAAAAATAAAAGTAGAATGTTGTAATAAGAAAAATTATGAAAGTAAGTTGCTCTTTCATGCATTTAACTCAATTTTTTTCAAAATTAAAATTTGCCGATGAAAAGCAAAATTTTATATTTTATTTTGTTTATAGTTATAGTACGGGTGTGATAGAGCCTACAAAAAGATTGGAACGAGCCCGTCTAAGAGTATGAAGGATGAAAGCCTGTTTATAACCCAAAACTCTTAAGAACCGGTTCTTGTAGGAACAAAATCAGGTTCCCGTGAACAACTATTTGTCAGTGTGCACGATAAATTCCAATTCTATCACAAACAATTAATCAAAATGACAAATACATATTGACAAACGTATTGATGGTGTTGACGTATGAACAATAACCTCTCAAGACAAGACCCCAAGACATGAAAATTTTCAATCTAAAAATAATTAATGAGGTAAAAACAAGTAGGTCAATGTCAAGAATCAATTGATTGGACGAAAGCAATACGTTACCGTTTATTCAATCATTTTTGTTTTTGATGGTTCGTGATTTCAATTCTTTCACACCTAAGCAGGAGGCTCCACAATGTGAATGCAACTAGTTTTGATGGATACTGATAATTGTGGATGTCATCAATTGTGTTTATTATAATTGGTCATGTACGTTACGAGTGTAAATGGATCAAATATAAATATATATATAGGGGCCCATTCAAGAGAGAATTAATTAGTTTGTGGAATCTGTGAGATCCAATCTCAACAATAAATCAACGGATAAATTAAGAAATTAATAATTATGGCATTTTGAGTTAAAATTATAATTAGAGGGCATTTTAGGTATTTTTAAAAAAACTCATCTCTCCTCTCTCATCTCTCATCTCTCCGACCTCCAATCTCCGGCCTCCGGTAAACAAAAATCCGGCAGATACCAAGTAATCACAAAGATACACAATGAGATACCCATTGTGATATACTGTGATACTATTTGAGTACCACTGTATATCACAATGGGTATCACATTGTGTATCTTTGTGATTACTTGGTACCTGCCGGATTTTTGTTCACCGGGGGCTGGAGATTGAAGGTCGGAGAGATGAGTTTTTTAAAAATACCTAAAATGCCCTCTAATTATAATTTTAACTCAAACTACCATAATTATTAATTTTTTAATTTATCCGTTGATTTGTGGTTAAGATTGGATCTCACAGTTACCACAAACTAATTAATTCTCATTTGATTAAACCCCTATATATATATAGGGTTGGGTTCACGTGAGACCAATAGTTTTTCGTGAGACCCGTCAGACCAATTTATGTTCATTGATCAACTTTATAAACTAATGATCTAATGGTTTAAAGTTGCATGGTGACAATTTTGTAATTATTGAGAACTCTCGTGGCAAATTTTGTGATTAAGAATGTTGTGATTATAGATCTAATCCAAGGGTTGAGAATTGGTCTTATGGGTCTCACGAAAAAACATTGGTCTCATATGATCCCAAGTCTATATATATATATATATATATATATATATATATATAAGATTTGGGATCACATGAGACCAGTCTGTTTTTATGAGACCCGTGAAACCATTTTTTTACACTTGAAACTTCATTGCAAAAAACTGTGAAGGTAACCTTCACAATGTTTTTGCTGTGAAGGTTTGATTTTTTTTACCTTTACAATATTTTGATGTGAAGTTTCAAGTGTAAAAAAATAGTCTCACGAAAACAAATTGGTATGACATGAACCGAACCCTAATCATATTTATTTATAATTTTTGATGTGAAGTTTCAAGTGTAAAGAAATTGTATTAATGTTTTAAGTGTATGAGATAGTTTAAATCTATTTAAGTAAGAAGATTGGTTATATTTTATTGATGATGAGTGGAATACTTTAAGAGTATAAGATCAAATATATGAAATAACAATATATTTTCATAAATTTCTTTATTATAATATAATATATTTTTTTATTACAACAATATATTTTTAAATTATTTTTCATTCAAATATTGAATGAGTAACTTGTATCTTAGACTAGTTTCTCCCAATTGCGTGTCATATTATTTCGTGTATTGATAAGAGTACATTAAGGTGCCATTTGCCAAATGCTTACCCGAGTAAACGCTTACTAAGTCATGTTTCCTTATTGGATGAATATGACAAGGATCAATAATCTTACCTGGTAAGAGCGAAGGCAAAGACCGAGAATCTTATCCGGTAAGGTGATGGCGATAACTCTTACTACCGTTAACGCTTACCGGGTAAATTGTTACATACGATGTCGTTTTAGTAGACTAAAATCTTATCCCATAAACAAGTGATAGAGTTGAATTTTACCGTTAAACGCTTATCGGGTAAGTATTAGGTAAATGGTAACTCAACAATTTATAATTTTTTTTTATCGAATATACATCACTATCTATATAGATAGAATATGATTTATTATATTAGTAAATTCCAAAGATTTAATATTTATTTTTATACAGAATACATATATTGATGTTTGGGATAAGAGCAAATATCTGATATTATTGTCGTTACTTGATTCATATTTTATTTTTTAATAATGCTTTTCTAAATCAATGATTTGTGTTTTATAATATTAAAAAACAAATATATTAATATCAAGA